CCAGTGCTGGTCTGTAGAGCAGGTGAATGCGAGTCTTATATTTAAAGTGTTTTTTACGGTTTAAATACTATTACTCGTTAACTAAGTTGTAAATCTGCCCATTATTTCCATTTTCTCTCTCATTCCCTCCTTTCGTTCAATTCTTCACTTAAAACGAGTGAAAAGAAGACAAAAAGCAAAAGCAAACCAAAGCTTACTTTGTTTATCAAATCTAAATATCAGTTCCCATAGAATTCTTGGAAATGTCAGCCCAACAGCCCATTAATACTATTATAAGTCAATAGTCTTTTTTGTTGTGCACACAATTTAATAAAACTTTTTTTTTAATTTGTAAGTTTTCACAAAATTTTATATCAAACTTTCGATATAATTATTTTAATAGGATTTTTAAAAAGTTTTAGACATAAATAATTACTTATTAATAATAATGAGCATAGCTATAGTATGCCCATTATTCATAAGAGAATATTTTAGACAACTATATAAGAAAAATACTAAACAAATTATCTTATTTTATTTTTAACAATATTTATTACTTGTTGTAGTAACTTATTTGCATTGTATCAAAACAAATGATTACTTTTTCAAAGCTACCTTTTCATACAAAATCTAAATAAAGTGTTTATTTAAATTAATTTTCTAATTATATTCCAAAATCAAATGGCGTTAATGAATGACTTTTTGATGTATAATTTGTTCAAAGATGTGAATACAAATGCATTGAAAGGTTGTAATGAGATCTAACTTTGTAAAGTGGAACGACAGGTGGCTTTCCTAAACTCATCCCAATATATTTGCCTCTCATATCCTGTTTAACTATTTTGAGATGCATTAAGGATTCATTGCTTTCTTGTTTTGAATTTTGAAAAATAATTTATTTTCAATTTCTCTCTCGATATATACACGTCTGTTGTGTTGTGTTCGCGTTTATAGTATTCATAATCCAAACACTAATTGAAATTTTATTTAATAATTATTTTAGTTTTGTTGTTGTCTTATGTTCCAAGAGTTTTTCAAATGTTTTCATAAGAAAATAAGATTTATTTGAATAATAACTTCTTATTAATAAATGTTCCCAAAGAACCTGACATTCACTCAATCACACGAATGAGACCTCATTTTCAAAAATGCTATCAAAATTGGATTTGACTTTATTTTTACGATTCAAACGCATCATATAATTTATTTAAGAAAATTTTGCAAACTTCTAAAACTCTGTTTGAAATTTGAATACATTTTACTCCGATATGAACTCTTCGATGATTTTAATTCGCTTTGATTTGAGCTAATATTTCAAACAAATCCTATTTATAAGCGATATATTTGTGAGATATGACTGACTTCTAAAGATTATGACTTTTCTCGTTGAAAACGTTTGACTTTTGAATTCTTTTGAATTATTGTAATTCTTTACAAACAAATAATCTTTGAATTGATTGTCTAATATTATACATTTTGGACTAATTAAAAACTATAATCTTTGAAGTCTTTTAAAGATTTCAATAATTTTATCATCAATTCATGCGTTTAGACTTAAGGGGATAACGTTTTAGCAGATCCCGTATAAATGATTACATCTTTACTCTAATAACAGTTTATTTTCACTTTCATTAAATACAATATTCTTTCTCCAATCATTCACTTACAGACAAGTTCTCAATGCATACAAAAAGATTTATAACTTTTAAATTTTTTAATGTAATTAGAAATAGTATTAAGAATTATAAAAAAAATTAAAAATAAATAGATTACGATAGTGTTATACAGTATATCCACAGTAAAACATAACTCATGTTACATATCAGGGTCATTCTCAGAGGGACAGTGGCAGGAAATTTTTTCTTATTATACTTTAATAGACAATAGTTTACTTGAAATTGTAGGTTAATATTCTGTTTGAATGAGTGGTAGTAAAAGCAATAGGATTCACACTCACTTATATTGTACAATAAATCTCATTTTCAACGCATATGAGCTGTCTCAGTTTGGTGAATTCAATCATTTCTGTGACCTATTTTTAAATATTTTAAATCAATTATCACACCATTGTCTATTTTAATAATTTTTAAATGTGGATTCATTTATTTAGATTTAAATGAAATGTCTCTTCATTTATCATAAATTTTCATTTAGTGCTAAATTTAAATGCATTTGAAATACATTGTAAAAACTGATTACATTAAATTTTCTAGAATTATAATTAAAACACAATAACAATAATCTGTAGTGATTATGAATCATTGCCGTCCTGTTGGACCTGTTTATAATTTTTCAAAATTTGAGTTAATTTAGATAATTATTTTGCCAAAAATAACTTAATTATATAAACAATCATTATTTTCCAATTGTTTCAATATTTTTGCATTCAATGAAATGCTTTAAAAGTGTGATTGCAAAGACGTTTGTGAAAAGTAGTCGTCGAAAATCACTGCAATTAGAGTCGATTATTAATCTAGTTATGGATTATAAATGTAAATTATATACCGGGGATATAATAGATTTTGCATTTAAGACATTGTTATGACATCAAAAATGGTATAATGTATCATTAATAAAGTACAATACTACGATAATGCTATATAACATAACTCAAAGTTAATGTTATTTCCGATCAAAGTTTTGAATTTTTGGCATTAATTTTAGTGATTATATTGTGAGACACAAGAGAAACCTTGAAAATCAGTTTCGTTTGTCGTCTTTATTTGCGTGCAAACCCTTCTCTAAGGATAGGACGGGAGGAGTGTTTTCTCGGTATACAGTGTTTGCGTGTTAGCGCACAACAACTCCAATACCTGTTTGAGTCGGCCGTCAGGAATGCTTTAATCTTCGGACTGCAGGGGAGGCACAGACCCATGAGTTTGAAGAGCCCTTATAGCTCACTATAGTGTCTTATAATGTGCCTAAACCTGTCTGTGCCAAGAGATAGTTGCAGGGAGAGAGAGAGAGAGAGAGAGGAGAGAGAGAGAGAGAGAGAGGAGAGAGAGAGAGAGCTCACAGGAGAGAACAGGTGATGTTGGAGAAGGGAATGTAGAGAGAGAGGATGCCTGAGGCGCACCCGTCCAACAGGTATTTTGCAGGGGGGACGCCGTGGGGGCTATGGAGATATAGCTGCGAGTAAGTGGCCATTCAGGTTCCTGTTAGTGATGGTACCACTTCAGGCCCCCTGTTCTCTAGCGGATCCTTTAGTGCTGTTGGCATTGGCTTTGAGTTATTTCTCAACATTAGACAAAAGGAAGGGAACGGGACTAAGACTGGGACTGGATTTGCGCGTCACCACCACTGGAGCTCGCAATCCATTTTCTAATGCTAGTTGTTTTGGACGCTTCAGGCCTTACCTGTATCTCTAAGTGTGGTTACCTGAAGGCACCAAAAAGACTCAGTGACTTCACAATCGCTTTTTGTATTTGTGTTGTTTTAATAATAATACTCTTGCAGAGTGTACTGTAAGGCACTCACTGTAGGCCTGTTCTCATCCAAACATTACTGTTCTCTCACCCCAAGGCATATGAAAGCCTTATATTATATTTTATTTAATTGTTTCATTCGCCGAATATTTCATTCATTCATTTATTTATTTTAATATTTTGTGTTCAATTCATTACAAATGATGCAAAGTTATCATGTGTGCCAACAGTCCATACACTCAATACTCAATGGGATGACTGGTGTGAGCCATGGATGAGAACCGATAGTCTCCGGTACTTATTGTGGAGATCGGTATTGAATCCCAAAGTCTGAGCGAAAGCGTGAGTAACGCGTGTCTCAAGAGTTTTCAACAAAAACTCAACACAAACTTATTGGCAAATGTTGTCCATTGAGTCCATTGAATCCATTCAATTCTTACTTTACATTTGCTGTGGTTTGAAGTCAATGTTAACTATTGTGCCTCAAAGGCAGGTGCTCTCAAAAACTTGGCCGATATAAAAGTCCTACAGTTATTGTTATTTTGTTTTACATCTCATCAAAAGCCAACAAAATAACGCCAAAAGCGTTTTACAATTGTTTTTATGAAAAACTACTTTCACCGCAAATTCATTCATATATTTCTAAAAAAGAGTAAATAAATGACAATTTAATATATCCTTTGATAATATCCGCCGAAATACTCATTTAAAATCACAATTCGTATGAATCGAGTGCCAAATCATTAATTTGAAAAGTATTGCAAATATGGCTCAACAGATCAGTCCATTAGATGGACACCAAACTGATAATTCTAACCAAACGAATGGTCGGTGTAAGCGAAAGGGTGCTCCCGATGACACCAACGATGTCACCGGCAGTTCACAACTCTCTCCCAACTCACACAAAAATAATGAATTGCCGGCCTTTGGCTTAATTGACACTCACGATGAGGTTGTGGTTAAGTATTATCAACACTTTCTCTCTTTGAGTCCATTTAATCCTATTATTCACTTATTCTTAATCATAATCAATGAGTTTCCGAGTCTTGGAGTTTTGTGTGCGAAATAGTTGTTATAATCAGATGTCCATATTTGGTGTCTAAATGTTCAATCCAGTTAGATTGATTATAATGATTCACCTAGATAATGATTTTCTAGAATATTTTCACCTCATATATGAAATACCTGTAGAATTGAGTGAGAGTTGCATTCAATACTAAAGAACGTGTTTATTGTGAGATTAGGTTTGATTTTATGACTGCAATGAAGGCTTATTGACGACCTGTTTATGAGTGAATGTATGCAACAATTTGTTAATTAAATCTAGACAACTGTATTGTCTAATAATATGAATCGTCGTGTAGGTGTTTTTAGAGTTAATAGTGTGATATCATATGGTATATGAGTAGGAAAGACCTCTCACGTCCTTGCCTTTGGGCATAGCATTGTACAGTAAGCAAGGATATGGTATAGTGACTGCCGCTGTGACTTTGGGCCTGATTCTGGTGTGCCTATAGTGAGCCCCAGGCATGCAAACAATGTACTGGAATTCTGCAACTTATATAGTATTGTAAAAAAAGGCAAAACATCTTATTTGCTCTTCTCTTCCGTGGCCGTGATCTCCAATTGGCATACATTGCATACACAGCACAAGTAGTCTAAATTGTAAAGCCAGTGAAACTAGTAGACAACGCCTTTCCATGACTGGCCAAAGGCTATAGGAAATATGTAATCTCACTCTTACTTTCCTTGTCTGGCAATTCCTACACAGACTCATGCCTTTAGCGCTCAATCTTTCAATTCTTACATCAGTTCCTCAAATGAAGTTTCATTGAAAACAAACGACCGATTCTTACAAACTTTTCATGCATTCATAGGAGCGCCGAGAGTTAGTCAGTGGTCATGGAGGGGGTTTGGGGCCCATCAGCAGCATTGGTGGGTCGACGGCATCGTTCAGCTCAACGCCACGACTGACACATACGCCAACATCGGCTGACTTCCAGCCGCCATACTTCCCGCCGCCATATAATCTGCCGCAACAGCAGCTGGACTTCCATCACCACCACGCAGTCAATGCCGCGGCAGCCGCTGCCGCAGCCGATCCCTACTCACACCTCAACAGCTTAGGGGCGCCGCAACAGTACCACCAGTTGCACCCTGCTCATCCCGCTCACCCTCAGACAGCCAGAGGTCACAATGTGCTGTCCGGCGGCCGACGGGACGACTCGGACCTCCACCTCCAGTCTAATATGCATTCGGGACTGCATTCCGGTTACGGCGACGTCACTGTCTCGGTGGCCGCCTCTGTGAACGCCGCCCGAAGGGGTACAGACATGGTGTACGCCAATGTGCGCCGACCCGACGTACTCATGCACTCCGGTCACCACACTCTCAGTGAACAGGATTTGCTCAATCTTCACAACGCCGGTGCCCTCCCATCCCTCGACGACACACAGGTCTGTCTCCATTCGCTTTCATTCAATTCATTACTCCATTCAATACTTCGCTGAAAATCAATTCATTTACAAAAGCATTATTCTATCAAATGATTAGTTTTTTAGTGATTTATCAAAATTCAATTCACCGCACATTTGAATCAACGCTTCAAACAGTGAAACAAAAAATATTAGTTTTTATTTATTTTGATAAGAAAATCAATTTAAAGTCTCGAGTGAAATATTGCTTTGTATTCCGTTTATAAGCCTTTAATGTATTTGAATGGATGTTATTTTAGAAATGTCTTTCACATAATTCCTAAACACAATTGCATAACAAGTCTCGTCTCACTATTGTGTAACTCTAACATTGAGTTTCAAATGAATGCAAATTATTATTCAAATGAAACAATCTATTTGTCACGCTATCAATGCGTTGACCATTTGATGAATGCTTTAACCCATACATTAATATCTAATATTGTATTCATAACAAAATATTTGTTATAGTTTAGAGATTGTTTTAAAAATATAATTCTCTAACATTTAATAATAAATTAATCTGTTTTTAAGTAACAAAACAACAACCTTTGGTTACCTTTATTTACATTAATCTTAAGAGTAAAAACTTATTTTAATATATTTTTCAAATGCCAGCAGTTTTTTGTGAATGTCTAAAGACATTTTAAAATAAAAGTTTCTATTTAGACAAGCAGTTCTTACGAGTTAGTTTATTATAATATAATTATTGTGTGTTTCAAATGCATAAACTTTTTTTGCTAACAGTTTGGCTCGCATTGAATGCCTCACTAGTCATGCATTCATCTCTTTAACAATTTCTCAAACATTTTTTCTTTTTCCACTCATTTCTCAGTTCAGATGAGTCTTAATCTCCCATTCTTTCTGTTTATTGTTTGAAAGTCTTATTAATTTTTGCAATTTATGGAGAGATTTCCACTATTTTCTCTACTCGCTTATAACTTTAGTTTGAAAGTCATTTGAATTTCTAATTAGAGTCTTATGTTTTCCAAAAAGTAAACCTTTAAAACCACACTTAAAAGGGCAACAAATGCTTCTTTCCATACACTCTCTATACACCGCTTTAGATCACACTTTTGTTTTTTCAAAGTTTAGTGACGTTTATAATAAAATCGGAAAACAAATTTATGATTAAGTATTCAAATTGAAACTCATATAAGGCTATGTTTTATTCAAATATAAGTTTTATTTTTATTATATTTCAATTAATTCATAGATTTATAATATTAATAACAGAATGTGAATTTAACTTTAATGTTTGCAATCTTGACAAATAAGTAGTAAAATTAAAAGAATTCTTTAGTAAAAAGAAATAAGATTTGAGAAATTTAATATCAAATAATGATGTTGTAATGCATTCTTATATATTTGCGAGTTTTAAAATTTGTTGTAAATATTTCGTTTATATTTAGCAAACGTGACGAGTATTTACTATAAATTAGTTTCATTGCTAATATTGTTATGGATTATTTAAGAATATTTTCAAATTCAGTCATTTTGTAAATGCCATGAAATAAATGATTTAGGATTAGATAATATAAATAATATATTAAATAAAATTTTAACTTATTTGCTTATAAGTTAATAATTAATTAATAGCATATAATTAATGAATGTAGAGAAATGTTTGTAATTCTTGAAATGCAAATGAAAATACGTTATGCTAGTTATAGTACCAAATGATAATCAAGATTTTGTTTAGAAATGTCTTGATGGAAATAATGAATGTTTTTTGTTCTAATATTATTTTTAAAAATAATTTTCTATCATTTATATAAAAAACGAAACAAATTAAGAAACAATTTTTGCTTTGAATTTAGATTAAGTTTAAAAATAAAGAAATATTTTTGTACTCTACTTATCAATGAAAATATTCAATTTAATACTAATTAGTTAATACTACAGTATATAAAACAAAAATATTTATCGTTAGGACAGGTATTATGACAGTTTCCCAGAGAATGAGAATCTAAGAAATCTGAACGTCAGTCGACAGACAAATCAAAGCGAATTTATTTATAAATTATTTACTCAAAATTCATTTGCCGCTAAAGCACTCATTAAAGTTATCTTTGATGCAGTAATTACTCCATTTATTTTAACCTTAAAATATAAGTGATTTTTAATAAAATTTTTAATTTTCAGAAATTGTGTCTTATACGCAATTTTCCCATTTTTATAAATATATAGTTTAAGTTTGAGCCCAACATACAAATCAAGTCGAAATTTGTTTTTTAAACTCAAAGCCGAGAGAATTATAGTTTAATATAATTACGAGACTATTATTCTCTTCTCAAGTGATTTATACGAAGAATTATTTTTCTAAAATCACTGATAAATAAGGCGAACCAATAGAGACAGAGGTTGTGGACATGTAGTGAAAGATAGTCTTTAAATATAGGGTAAAATAAATGATTAATAAAGTTTTCGCTGTAAAAACTAATTGGAAATTATTTTGGAAAGACTTTTGTTGGCTATCAGTAGTTATTATAAGTGTTGTATCGGTCTGTCTATTGTGAGAATGCGAGCAAATGAGTGGGTCTAATGTTGGAGGGAGTGGGACAGGACAGGTATCTGTGCTGTGTGTTTGATGCTTTATTGATAGAAAGTCTTTTAAGCTGTGCTTTTTGCACAAAATTATTGCCTGTCAATAGCAGAGAGAGAGAGAGAGAGAGAGAGAGAGAGAGAGAGACGGAGTAAAAGTTGCCAAACTATTCAAACTAGAAATGAGTTGGGCCTTGAAGTCAGGTTAAAACTACAGCACCGGCTAATACTGTATTTACATCTCAGCTCATCTCTTGTCCCGCACTTTTAAAGAGGAATTTTTAGAGCTGTTTATCTGATTTAAACTTTTTTCAACTAAAAAAAGTCAACAGCAAAACTATAAGCAAAATGTTTACTTTGTATTTCAATGTGTGTGTGCTTTGGATGTAAGACTTCTAGACATCTAATACTCTCATCAGTTTTTTTGCCACTTATTAGTACAGAATTAATTATTTCTATACCAATATTTTATAAAACAAATACAAAAAAGCAAAATAACATTATTTTTAGCTATATTAGCACAAATGTATTCACTATTGATTACAAACATTGGTTAACATCTTCCAAGAGGTGAGCATTCATTGCCTTTAGGACATTGCCATCACATAGGAATGTAGTCGTATAGCTCAGGGCAACAACTTTAACATACTATAGCCTTAAAAACTATCATAAGTTTAATATATTTTTATTTAACATTAATTTTTTAAAAGCATTTATTGATTAATATTCAATTAATTGTTACTATATTTCGAGAGTAATTGTCTAATGTTTGTGTGCAGTTGAGGTGACTTCTTAAGACAAATAATTGATATATGTGTTTACTTTTTGAAAATATAATTCAAGCTATAGTGCATTCACGATTGGATGTGTATATGAGGTTCACTGTCGGACTCATCAATGTATGGATAACGACATAATGACTGTTGTTTTACTTCAATGCTTTCAGTTTTCAAATGTTTTATAAAGATTGCAATTGTTAACTCCAAGTGATCACAACAACACTTCCAAGCTAATTCATTGAAATATTCAAATCTATAATTAATTTTAGCATTTTATGGACACGACTTTTTTCAAACAATAGGTTATATGCCAAAATAGACTGGTCATTATTGCATACTATCAATTTATTAGGTTTCAAACCCTATATTTATTAACTGTTTAAAATTATGTCATACAATGCATTAGACTAGAATTTTCACTACAGTCACTTATATTATAAATTTTTTTATTTAAATAGATACATATAACATATAATCAAAATCAAAATAATTGAACTCATATTAATTTTGACATATTTCATTAGTTTGTCGCTTTTAATCATTAATAGAGGGTTAAAAACCTTCACGACTTTCATCAGTTGAATTAAATTTTGAAATATCTATAATCACCAATTAAGATATTCTTATACAATGATCCTATGAAAACTAAGATTTAAATAAAAGCTCAAAATGTTTCTTAAATCTTAATGTATTTCTAAATTTTCTATACTTTTCTATTAATTAATTGTTTTTAACATTTGCTATATTAGTCTATTTTTAATAAAACTCTTATAAGCTATAGCTTCATAGAAATATTAGGGTCACAACCCTTTAAGTATTTCTATTCAGTCTCTTTTTCAAATGATATGTAGTCAGAATATTTTGTACAAATTGTAATATAGTATATAATTATAATATAATAAAAATTTTACAATATATCGGTTTAAATAAAAATAGTTTCAAACTTTTGTTGAACTTTTTGTTGTAATAAAATTCTAATAGATTTCTGTAATGTCTATTCAGGCAAACAATTAATGAATACATTTGTGAACACAATTATATACATTTAGCGCCGTTTGATTTTATTTTATTTATAATTTCTTTTAAAACAAGAAAAATACGTGAATTGAATTAATAATTTCATTGAAGTTTTCTGTGAAAAGATAAGACAAAAGTATTTTCTAGTATTTATTCCGACTAAATATCTGTAAAAAACGTTTGCGAGAAATGCAGTAATCATTAGTTTGGTATAAGTGTTGTCGACCCCATTCCCAATAATTTAACAGATTTTGCATTTATTTCAAGCATAAAATCAAACAAAATAATAAATGTAATAAATGGACATTTTTGGTCGAGAATGTGATAGTTATTTTGAATTTAGTTTAGTTAATCGGTCACATCAGCCGTATGTATGTTATACAACACCATACAAACTATAGCTCACAGTTAGTCTACGCGGAAATATCATTAAATACAAAACTTGTTGCCATTTCTGACGCAAACATTACTTCATTCTCTCATATTTTTCTAATTCAATACAAATATTAATATTTTCATTCAATTTAAGTCTTTATTTTTTACAACTAATTATTGTTTTGAAATTTCAATATTTTTTATTATTTATATCTTTTTATTAAGCAATTAGCAATATATCATTATATAAAATGGTACTTGGTGTATGCAATATATTTATAATTTTAACTCTAAACTTACTAATAATCGTTATTTATATTTATACTTGCTGCATTATTTTAGAATTTGTGAACTAATCATTATTTAATACCAGAATATACAGTACCTTATAGAAGCAATTAAGTTTGAGATTTTGTTTAGGGAATCGATGTTTGATTGCTAATTAATTTCTAAACTATTTGCAATAAACACTTTATGCAATTAAATGACACTTCAGAAGAACTACATCCTCATCACTAAAAGATGAACACTTTTACTCCATCCCTGTGTTCAAGCACTCGAATGGTCGAGAATGTGATAGTTATTTTGAATTTAGTTTAGTTAATCGGTCACATCAGCCGTATGTATGTTATACAACACCATACAAACTATAGCTCACAGTTAGTCTACGCGGAAATATCATTAAATACTAAACTTGTTGCCATTTCTGACGCAAACATTACTTCATTCTCTCATATTTTTCTAATTCAATACAAATATTAATATTTTCATTCAATTTAAGTCTTCATTTTTTACAACTAATGATTGTTTTGAAATTTCAATTTTTTTTATTATTTATATCTTTTTATTAAGCAATTAGCAATATATCATTATATAAAATGGTACTTGGTGTATGCAATATATTTATAATTTTAACTCTAAACTTGCTAATAATCGCTGCATTATTTTAGAATTTGTGAACTAATCATTATTTAATACCAGAATATGCAGTACCTTATAGAAGCAATTAAGTTTCAGATTTTGTTTAGGGAATCGATGTTTTTAACGATTAATTAAAGATTTGATAAACGTTATTTGTGAAATACGTTAATTTACTGTGAAGTCTTCTTGATGTAGGAGTAGTGATTTTCTACTTGTGAAAATGAGGTAGGGACACAAGTTCGTGAGCTTTCTGCCATCTATTCGTTTGATTGCGATATATTTGGAGATTGAAAAAGTTGACAATAGTTTGCCCATAATGTGTATTTAAAATTAATATTGTATTTAATTGTAAAGAATTATATAACAATTGGATTTAAAGATTTCTACGTTTATATAGTATTGTTTGTATTATAGGCTTATATAAAATATACATAAAATAATTCCTTTCACTAGTCATTGAAGCGCTTCAATCACTTCACATTTATTGAAGCGTCAAAATAAGTTTTAAATTCAAACGATTAATATTACGATATTATTTAACAGTACAGTGCACTTAGAATTTACTTTTTTCGATACTTTTTTCTACCAAATGTCAAATGATTAACTGTTTTCTCACAATAGTTCTCATAACTTAATTAAGTTTCTTTTTTGTATTTATAAACCAATTTATTTTCTCCCAAAAGAGATTAAGTGAATTAATTTATGGGTTTAGCAGTCATTTATACTTAAAATAACTTCAAATCTATAAATTAAATTTATATTTTTATATAAAATAAATTCATAAAAATAATCACATTTTACAAAGCATTCTGTATACTGTATTTAGTGTTGAGTTTAATTTCTAAATTAAGTTTTACTACAGTAGTATTTATCATAATTAATTTGTGTTTTATTATTTCTGTAAATAGTATTCCCATATCATTTGTATAAATTATATATATATTGATATTCATAATTAAATTTAAAGATTTTATTGAAAATATATTTAAAATAATTAACTCTTTTGCAAATAATTAAGAATTTTTATTACTTTAGGGATTGTAATTTAAATATTATTTTAATGATCAAAACTTTCTCTCTAAATGATATAAATCTAAATTAAGCAAAAGATTTATGAATTATTTTTTTATCGCTAATTAATATATTTAAAACATAAAGTGGATTTAAAAGCAATTTTAATACAAATTTTCTTAATTATGATATTGTAGTTAAATAATTGAAGTTTTAATGTTTGTATATTCTGCATACTTTAAAAAGTGGTTCATTTGATTAAAGCATAGAAATTCTTAGGGCTATTAAATAATTTATTATAATTTACAGCTAATATATTTGGAAGCGATTGCCCGAAGCTCTTCCTAATTTTCAAACTTGTACTGTAATTGTGATAAAAATCAAAACGATGTCCAAAATGTTTAGCTATAAAAATATATTCTTCAGTAAAAGAAATGTTTGCAATTCTTAAATAGTTATATATGAAGTGAGCTAACAATATATCAGAAGTTAATTATAAAAATAATTAATTCGTAAGAAATAGTTATGCTGCTGAAGAATATGCGATGAGATCTGATTGCCGTATAAATACACGAATTTCTGATGAAACAAGTGAATTTTGCAAATAATTAAGAATTTTTATTACTTTAGGGATTGTAATTTAAATATTATTTTAATGATCAAAACTTTCTCTCTAAATGATATAAATCTAAATTAAGCAAAAGATTTATGAATTATTTTTTTCTATCGCTAATTAATATATTTAAAACATAAAGTGAATTTAAAAACAATTTTAATACAAATTTTCTTAATTATGATATTGTAGTTAAATAATTGAAGTTTTAATGTATATTCTGCATACTTTAAAAAAGTGGTTCATTTGATTAAAGCATAGAAATTCTTAGGGCTATTAAATAATTTATTATAATTTACAGCTAATATATTTGGAAGCGATTGCCTTAAGCAAACTTCCTAATTTTCAAACTTGTACTGTAATTGTGATAAAAATCAAAACGATGTCCAAAATGTTTAGCTATAAAAATATATGATTCAGTAAAAGAAATGTTTGCAATTCTTAAATAGTTATATATGAAGAGCTAACAATATATCAGAAGTTAATTATAAAAATAATTAATTCGTAAGAAATAGTTATGCTGCTGAAGAATATGCGATGAGATCTGATTGCCGTATAAATACACGAATTTCTGATGAAACAAGTGAATGGAAATTGCTTTGAAATTATCATCTGATTATCAGTTGTGACCAAAATTGTTAGAAAACCAATGCAAGCAATGATTGCGATGATTATGAATTGAGAGCTTATAAATCGATTGAATAATTCAATGAAATGATTGTTGAATTCAGAATTGGTTTCGATAATTGCGGAAAGGATTCAAAAGTCATTAATTATATTGTTTTACCATTTGATGATATTTTAATTGCTCTCATTTGAATAATTATGAGTTTTGTTTTTGAAAAATAAACAATTTTGATAAATATGTTATGGAAATCAAAGATTTAGTGTTAGAATTGATGGAATCAAACAGAATAATGATCTCTAAGTAATTTGTATTAAAATAAATGCTTATATACTTTACAATATATAAGTAATGATAAGGATTTAAAGGATAAACAAGAAAAATATTATTGATGTTCACATGTAATTAGAGTCAACATTGGAATCAATTGAATTATACAAAACAAAGTCATTGCCTTACAATTCAAATACAATATATAAATAAACTTTAACTTTTCGTGTATTGCTCCGTTTTTCGACTTATGGAAACATTTATGTGGTTTGAGATCATTATAGAGTTAACGATAATAAAGTGGATTGTCTTCAGACTGCAATCATCTCACAATTTATAGCCAATGTCTGCATATTATATTAATCGATCATTTATTGAATACTCAAACATTGGGAACTGTAGTTAAGACCAAACCAATTGAATCCCTTGTAAGTCATTACGGCACTGTTATATATAAAAATCTCTTCCAGTCTGACCCTAAGCCCCATACTATTTCGAACCCCTTTAATGACGATTATCAATGAATTTAATGGTTTTTTCGCATTATAGTAGATATTTACACAAGTAGTTACAAATAATGCATATCATAGCCCCTACAACCCGTCTATTCGTTAGTAAACTCTTAATTCTTTAAAGAATTTCGCACTTTATGTTATTTATTACAAAATCTTAAAGTATTCACTAATTGTTTCAACAAAAAACATTACAAAATATTTACAAATAATTTTGTTATGCTTTACATAATACACTATGATTTAATTTAGTATGCATATCATTGGTTTAATTCTTCAGGCAATTGACTTATCATTGAATGAATTTGATTGTATTTGTTTATCGTGCTCTCTCTCTCTCTCTCTCTCTCTCTCTCTCTCCTTTCTCTGGTAAACATCACTTCCAAACTTCCAATACAACTATTCTTCACTTGAGGACAGAACCTCTAATTAAAGTGATGTTTAAAATAGAAGTCAACATAAGTTAAGGCTTTAATGGTATACAATCTAAAACAATTGTCTCATTTGTTATCATATATTCTGTTGGGAAACAAATCTTACTTAATTGTAATTTTAGTCATATGTTGATTACTATCGACGCAATAGAGAGTGAGGGGACAAATGTGAAATTGTTGGCAATCTATCAAACTATGGTATACTTAAAAGTATACCAAATGTTTTAAATAATACTGTAAACCATATTCTTATGTATACAGTAAGTACAGTAGTAAGCACAGAGGGCATTCATAGCTATCATAGAATTGTATAATAAAATATGGATTAAAACCAAGAATATTCTTAAAGAATTCATAAGATGTTACAAATAAAATTAATGAAAAACAAATGGTAAGAATTAGTGATAATTTTTGACAAAACTGATTGAATGCTGCAATAGAGGGGCTATTGATAGGCTTATATGGGTTTGGTATGAATTGGAGGCTAATGTGTGTCTCGGTGTGGAGTAGGGATGATATGTATGGCATACACTGAATGGAGTGATGCCTATGGAGTAGAGATAGAGTAGAGTGAAGTGAACAACAAAAAAGGCATCGTTTTGAGCATTGGTGTGAATGTATGGCACAGACAGTACAGTAGAGCACAACTGTATGGGTCTAACTGTAGTGAACATAACGTAATGCAAAGCATTGCCAGCTGTCGGCCTAAGGCTATACACTGTCTATAAGTAGTGTGTATTGTATTGAATGTTATGATTCACCACTTATTTACAGTTAACTGTTAACACACTCTCATCACAATTAATAGCAATTTGTGATTTAATTCACATTTACATCACATTTGGTTCATACACTTGAAGACCATTTGCCTACGAATAGTAACCTTTGTATCCAATTGTGCACTGAATTGATGTAAACATTGACTACTAATCAACAAATGAATTGAATGTCAATTGAAATCATTTAGAGTTAATATAATCAAATTCATAGTAATTTATTAGATATTATAAGACATTGTGTTTAATATAACAATAAATCGCAAACCAATTCATATCTCAATGTCTTCAATGGGTTTGGGAAAGAAACGTAGTCTTAATGTCAGTGATTATCACATCCAATGTCAAGAGAAACCATTGAAATTAGTTAAACGAGAATATGATAGCGATTACAATGACTACACCTCTCAAGACACCACTTCTTCGAGAGCCCAACACATCCAACCCATCAGACGCCACAACAATCAGGTCTATGTCTTAACCATTGATAGCATCAGACGATTGCTATAAACCTCTTGTTTCATATGATTTACCACTAATTGAATGGAGTATTGAATTGATTGTCGATTATATGATGTGTTGTATTGAATGCATGTATTGATGCCATTGTCTGTCGATGTCTTAGGGCGGAGGCGTTGAGGAGGCGTCACAACTATTCTCTGGTGACCACAACAGTGTCATCCGTAAGGGTATCATCAATGGTATGTCACTATCAGTGCATTGATTTCATGGTTTCACTAATTGACCACTAATTGTGATGAATAGGAATAAAACCTCGAAATAGTGATAATCACAAAGAGATGGTCATAACAGGAGTGACATCACCGACGGATGTGTTTTGTTCAGTGCCGGGTCGGCTATCTTTGCTCAGCTCCACATCCAAGTACAAAGTGACTGTCGGAGAGGTTCAGAGACGACTATCACCGCCAGAATGTCTCAACGCATCCCTCTTGGGAGGTGTTCTTCGCAGGTAT